AAATAAAAAAAAATCATAATAGTCAGCCAGGCGGTGGTGGTGCATTCTTTAATTCCAGCACTCAGGAGGCAGAGGCAGGCAGATCTCTGTGAGTTTGAGGCCAGCCTGGTCTACAGAATGAGTTCCAGGATAGCCAGGCCTACACAGAGAAACCCTGTCTCAAAAAAACCAAATAGGAATAATAATAATAATAATAATAATAATAATAATAATCGACACAGTGAATTCCACGACAGTCAGGGCTACACAGAGAAACCCTGTCTCTAACCAAACTAATAATAGCAACAATAAAAAATATGTGTACCTTTCTGGTGGTGGAGACCTCCTTGTGAAAACTTGCCTTTTGCAAAGGATCTCCTCATTCCTCTCCAGAGGAAGGAGAGGCAATATGGCAAGTGCCAGATCAGGGCCCTGCTTCCTGCTTCACGGGTGTGAAATGCCTTATGGTCTAAACCCCCCTGGTCTTGACCTATACACAAAAGGTAGTCTTGTGTGGGGATTTCTCCAGTGTCCTCTGCCAGCTTCCAGGAGGAAAAGCAAGGCTTAAGAAGGAGGAAGAAGACATCCCCATAAACAGTTTGGATAATAGAATATGTGAGAGTCTGTGTGCACACAAGCTATGACATGATTATGAGGGTCAGAGGACAACTTGAAGGAGCTGCTTCTCTTTTTCCGCCACAGTTACTGGGAGTCATTCAGGTTTGTCAGGTCTAGCCAGGGTTTTTACTGTCTGAGCCATCTCTCCCGTCCTCGGATGCAGTATTAAAGCTGTCTTTAGGGGCTGGTGTTGTAGCTCATTGGGTGGAATGCACTCCGTCCTAGGTTTAATGTCAAGTAACACACACACACACACACACATACACACACACACACACACACACACACACACACACACACGGAGACGAAGTCCTTCTGGGAGGGGTTCCCAGATCTTCTGTCACTTGCGTGCTTTGAGAGCCTGAGCAGGGCAGAAAACTGTGTATTTGGAGGGCACTGCCCAGTAAGTCTCACCCAGAACAGCGCCAGGCAATTAATCAGTGCTAAAGTGAAATCTGCCATTAGTTTTCTGTGCCCATGACTCTGACTTCCGGTCATATTCGCCTCTGCAGAAGACAGCATTGCTCATATTTATGGGATACGATACAATAGTTCAACATATACTTTCAACACACTTTAACACGAGTTCCGTGAAGAACTTACAGTCCTCTGTTAAATAAAGGACACTGGGGTTTTATGGCTTTAGAGTGTTTGAGAAGCCCAGGAAGAGCGACATTTTAAAAAGGTGAACAGAACGGACTTGAGTGTTGTCTGGAAATGCACGGGTAAGAACTCCCTAGCGGGGTCTGTGCCTGGCCTTCTAGATGAAGAAGAGGTAATAGTGACGTGTTCTAGGACCCTCCCTTTCCTTCCTTCTTCCCCTTTTTCTTTTAGAGATAGGGTTTCAAGTAGCCCGGCTTTGCCTCAAGCTCACTATATAGCTGAGGATAGCCTTGAACTCCTTAACTTCCTGCATCCATCTCCCAGGTGCTGGGGTTACAGGCTGTGGCTCCACATCTTGTTTTACTTGGTGCTGACAAGCACTCTATAGCCAATCCACACTCCCTGCCCGGAGCCTGGCTTCTTCCTCTCAGCCATCGCTCCCCTTTCATCTTCCTTGGCTCTCCCGGCTCGCCGGAACGTGAACTGCATAAGCCGGAGCCAACTTTTGTTTTATTTTCGAGACAGTCTCTTTATACATTCCTAACTGTCCTGGAACTCACTATGTAGACTGAGCTGGCCTCTGACTCACAGGGATCCTCCTACCTCTGCCTCCCAAGTTCTGGGATTAAAGGCGTGTGCTGAACCAACATTGTGTGTCATAGTGGACTACTTCAATTGGCCTTTCTTAATCAAGCATGGTAAATCTCATTCTGGTGAAGAATGAGCAGACAGTCCGCAGCCCCTGAATCAGCAGGAACACTGTAAGACTCGCCAAAAGAGAGGTTCACTTCACCCAAGGATTGTCCTTGTATTGGTTAGCAGGGTCTATACATTGTATAGAAGTGTCCCACCCCACCCCCAGACTTAATGAACACCTGGAATCTTAGAGTGTGACCTTATTCAGAAACTGGGTCTTTGCAGACAAGGTCAAGATGAGGTCATGCTGATGAGGACTGGCCTTAAGTCCAATGAATGCCGTGTTTATGAAAAGGGGGGAGGGGAAATTGCACAAAGACACACTGGGATGGCTGTGTGGTAATGGGGACAGAGACCGGTGATGCAACCTCGAGAAGAGAATGCCAAGGAGCGCTAGGAGCCACCGGAAGAGGCTGGGAAAGACGCTGCCTGGGAACCTAAGGTCTCTCTGACAGTCGTGGGGAGGGGCCGTGGGCTCTCAAGCTGTGGAGGGAGGAAGGTTCAAGCTACCCAGCACATGGACATTGGTAACAGCAGGGAGCTGTGGGGAATGAATGCAGGCCCACTGGAGCCCGGCAGGGACGAAATCACGAGAGCCCAAGAGCCTCCCAGACAGCAACAAGGGTCTCTCATCAGCAGGAACTGTGAGGTTTCCTTTGAGACATTCCCTTTAGCCTTGTGCTCCTTGCTCCCAAGCTGTCAGGACTGAGTCCCTGGCCAGCTTCCTCTGTCCCTTTCCCAACAGCCTAACTGGAACACGGAGGGCAGAATGTGGGTGACTTCCCTTGTCTCCTCTTTGGGGAAAAGGACTCACTTTTTGGGTGGCATCTGTGTTGGTGACCACTACACAGACAATAGGAACAGCACCTTTGGACAAAGTCACCCCGACCCATCCTCTTTTACCCAGTAGCAATGGGTGTGGGTGACTATATATGTTGAGGAAGGCTATCCAGGCAGCTGTGTGCAGAATGTCTTGGCGCAAAGCCAACTAGCTGGAAACTGATATCAAAAATGAACAGAACAGGAGGGCCGTGTTGTGGTGACCCTTGCAAGGGAAGGGAGCTACTGTTTTGTATTTGGAGTTTGGCGCTGTCTGAGGTTGTGTGAGAAGAACATCATTTTCTGTCTCCAACTATTCCTGCCAAGTCTCTTTGACTTTTTGGCATCGTAAAAATTGGAACCCATATCTTTTGTGTTGTTTGCCCAATTATGTAAGATGGATCAAGTATTAATTTCTGCTATTCTGGAATGGAGCTGGGAGCAGGCTGTTTTCTTTTGACAGAGAAAACCCTTTCTGAGAACCTAGGCTCAGAAAGACGAAAGTGCAAATGTCCCCCATGTGCTCTGATCTTGACAGTAGTCTATGGGTATCTGGGGTGAGTGATCTCTGATGGTACAAAGAGTAAAAGATAGGGGCTGGAGAGGTTGCACAGTGGCTCAGAGCACTTGCTGTTCTCAGAGGACCCAGGTTCGGTTCCCAACACCCACTAACTTGGTGGCTCATAGCATGTGTGACCCCACTTCCAGGGGATCCAGTGCCACCTTCTGATTCCCAAGGGCAGTAGGCATGTATGCCGTACACAGGAATACACAAAGGCAAAACACTCATGCATAAAAATAAATGAAAAAAAAACTTAATAAACTCCAACTCTGGTTCATGCTGTTCAGCCTAAATTGCTTTCTGAAACAAAAATCAAGAATCCTAATTTCCCCTGAGCTAAGGTCTTTGGAAAGAATGCATGGGCTGCTGTGTACAGCTGTGTCTCTGGCTGTTGTGTGCGGCTGTGTGTGGCTGTGTCTCGGGTTGCTGTGTGCAGCTGTTTTTTGGGTTGCTGTGTGCAGCTGTGTGCGGCTGTGTCTCCCATGTCTCAGGCTGCTGTGTGCGGCTGTGTCTCAGCTTGTGCCCAGGCTGCTGATAAATTCAGAGAACAAGTTTCAAGTATATGACTTCAAATGTGATTTTTTTTCTTTTTTGAGACATAATTTCACAAAATAGCCCGACTGGTCTAGCACTCACTATGTAGACCAGGTTGGCATTGAAGCAAATATAATATTAAAAAGTACTTTATTAAGATTTATACTCTTCAGTTTCTAGTACATCAATTTATAGGAATAATTTGTATGAAGATCTTACTCATTTGAATATTTAGAAGTCCTCACCCATTACAAAGAAAATACATTTCCAGTAACTACCCTTATCCCCAAGAAACCAGTTTAAAAAAAAAAAAACAAACGCCCAACTATATGGATAACCATTTTTTTTTTGTTTGTTTTGTTTTTTGAGACAGGGTTTCTCTGTGGCTTTGGAGCCTGTCCTGGAACTAGCTCTTGTAGACCAGGCTGGTCTCGAACTCACAGAGATCCACCTGCCTCTGCCTCCCGAGTGCTGGGATTAAAGGCGTGCGCCACCATCGCCTGGCCATTTTAATAATATAAGTGAGGAAGCAATTTTTGGAAATTATCATTAGATTTTAAGTTAAGGTATTTGTTTTTTTAAAAGCTTAGATTTGTTTTCTTAATTCTGAATTTTCACCTCAGCCCTCCAAAAATCTCAATGTCCCTCTTATCATTGCGCCTAGCTTGACCCGCTAAAGCCAGCAGATGGGCCTGTGGACAGCTGTGTCCTGGTCCCTGCAAGCCAACGTCTCTGTGGCCTTAAGCGACAGAAGCCTCCTTCCCCAGCCCCCTGCACCTCTCACCCACCACGCACCTCTTGCTCTCAGCTCAACCTCACCTTCTCTGTCCCCTTCTGGATTGCCCACTGGGACCTAAGAATCCTGACTGTCAGCCTTTCCCTCAGCTCTGGTCAATTTAGATGCTGTTTCTCCTCCTTTGAAAGCTCTTAAAACCCAGATTGGACGACCATGGACCCTGAGTATTTTATCATTTATCGTTTTTAGTTTTGTTTTTTTGTTGTGCCGGGGATCAAACTCAGGACTGACATAGGACATACTAGACAACCGCCCCCCCCCATCACCTACCTACATTTTAACTCCAAATATCTTAAACCCCAGGTCAAGGTTGATTCCCATTTATGATCCGTTTACTCTGTTACCTATGTCAGTGCATGGGAAACCAAGTCATCCAGTATTTCTCAGGCTCTCGTGTCAGATCAGATGCGTTCCATAAAAAAGCAAAAGCAAAACGGCAAAGAACAAAACAAACACCTTCCCTCCCTCAAAAAAAAAAAAAAAAACAACCCACAGAAATAAATAAAAGGAAAACACTCTGTGCCATTCCTTTCAAAAGTCTATATACTATCTTTCTTTTCTCCTTCAAATTCCAAAGGGAATGCTCACGTACTGAACGATCATCTAACACAAGGCAAATCCCACTACGTTTCTGTTAAACGAACGTAAGTAGACCCACAGCCGATCCCTGGTGAAAAGCAAACCAAACCGTGCAGAAACCACGCCCTGCTAGGGCTCAGTGACTCCTGCGTCAACACGTCACCGGCCTACGTCATCACGTGTTTATCTGCAGGGAGGGTCTTCCCGGCAAAGATGGCTGCTGCACACCTGATCTCCTTTTTAGTCCTTCTTCAGCAACACATACTCAGTCTTTTTAGAGACAAATCATTAGATATGCTTCAGTCGTTGCGGTGCTTGCGGGCGGCCTCTAGGCTGAGGACACTAAGTAACTAATTTGTAAGAAATGATTTATCTTGCTGATGCAGTTAGGTTTGAATAGTGTTTCTAAACTTTTAAACTTTGTGTCAATCTAACCCTTCCCTCCCACCCTATAGTATATGAGTATCAGTCTGGAGTCCAGCTCGGATTCTTTTCACTTGAGTACTGAAGTATCTACAGGAGGAGAAAAGAGAATAGTTACTGAAGGCACAAAAACTCCCTCAAGTTAAAGAAAAAAGATTCTTGGAGGCCAGAGGAGCTGCAGTTCAAGGCCAGCCTGGGCTACATGAGACCCGTCTACAAAAAACAAAAGAGGGTGGTGGAGGCGAGCTGGTGAGACGGCTCGGGTGTTGGGGGCACCTCACCCGATGACTGGTTTCAGGTGAGAGGACAACCTGTTGGTTCAGTCTGATGGAGTCTGTTCGTTCTAACCACGTTTGTCCTAGGGGTCAAACTCACGTAACAGGGCCCTAACCCACGGAACTGAGCCATCTCGCCAACTCTGTTTTTAGAGACAGAGTCTCATGTAGCTCTGGCAGGCTTGGACCTTAATATGTTGCTGATGCAGGTCTTGAACTCCAGGTCCTCTTGTGCCCCCATCTTTCACACGCTGGGATGACAAGCCACACCCAGAGAGAGGTAAACCCACAGTGTTTAATATTTGCTTATAAAGCAAACGCAGGAGCTACTCTGAGGAATTCAGAGAGTTGAAATTACAGGTGAGAGATACTAAGAATGAAATGCGTAGCTATATTTTAATTACACAGTATAAAAAATCCCAACACAAAGATAGTTGTAAATGGTAAAAATAATGAGAGGTTCTATTTTTGCTTTGTTTCTCTCTTTGCCCTCCCCTCCTGCCTCCCCCCTCCGTCTCTCTTGACCTCCTGCCTAACTAAACACTCATCCCTGAGCTACATCTCAAACACCAGTGCCTTTTCTCTACTTCCGTCTTGCCATCTGCTGATGGTCCTAACTTTCAAGACTGCGCAAAAGTTGACGATGCAGTTCACTGACGACATTGTTCTTTCTTTCAAGGTTTGATTTTAATGATATGTTTGCGCATGGGCATTTGTATGTGCGTGTATGTGCCTGTGGAGGCCAGAGGCTTCAGATCCCCTGGAGCTGAAGTTACAGGCATTGAGGGCTGGGAATTCGACTCTGGGGGAAAAATAGCACATGCTCTTAACCACTGAAACCGCACTCCTTTCCTCTCCCTCTTTTCTCTCTTTTGCTTTTGGAGACAGGGTCTCACGTAGCTCAGGCTATCCCCAAACTAGCTCCTGGTCCTCCTGCCTCACTTCTCAATTACTAGGATGATAGCCATGTGATATCAGGCCTTTTAGAGCTCCTCTCCCTCTTCCGTGTGTGTGTGTGTGTGTGTGTGTGTGTGTGTGTGTGTGTGTGTGTGATATGCAATAAGTGAGCTGGGATGGTGGTCCACACTTTTAATCCCAGCACTCTGGAGGCAGAGGTAGGCAGATCTCTATGAATTCCAGACCAACCATGGATATGGATACATAGTGAGACCCAATCTCAAAAAGAAAGAAAGAGCAATAAGTGCTCTTAAACCACTGAGCCATCTCTCCATCCCTTTCACCTCCACCTCCCCCCACCCCCAGGAATTTTCATTGAATAGAATTTGCCATTTTAACCTTTCAGTGTTGAGCTTATAGATGCCTCCAGTTTTACATGGGTGCTGAGGATTTGAACTCAGATTTCAGTGCTTGTCTAGCAAACATCTTACCCATGGAGCAATCTCCTTAAGCCCCCAGAGTTTGACTTTCTGACGATGATAACACTCAGTGCCACTCTCCAAAGCCTTCAGGTAGCAACACAAAATTGAAGTAGCTGAACCCCCCATCCCCAAATATGTCTGTGACTCTTCTAGAGGGCAGCAGGTAGTCAGAATGGCAGAAACCAGTAGAATGGGCTTTAGTTTTGCATTTAAGTTGTAAGTATCTCACACAAATCAAGGAACAGAATGTTTAAAATGTCTTGATCTGCTACATTCTCATTTTTTATTGGATTTATAAAGGAAAAGGAAAACTGTTGCATTGGCTATAGTCTCCTGACTGGCCTCATCATTATTCAAAGCCATGAATGCACAGTGTGGCAACTTAAAATGTCGGCAGAGATACAGCGATTTGATTAAGCATTGCATAAGTCCAGAGTGCCGTGGAACATAGTTTGAAAATCCCCTTCCCCTGTCTTGGAGGGATTATCATTTAGTTTAATGATCTTACCTCTTAGGAAACGAAGGCAGCTTAAGCTATAGGTATAGACCAAGGTTTAAATGTCTTCGGGTCATCTCTTGGGATCTAAGGAAGAAAAGAAATAAAAGACCAAAATGTAGCACATATACAAGGATGCATATGCTATTATAATATTTGATCAGAGAAATTATAGCAAATCAATCAATCTTTCTTTCTTTCTTTCTTTCTTTCTTTCTTTCTTTCTTTCTCTCTATGTGCCTGTGGCTCTCCTGGAACTCTATATAGATCAGGTTGGCCTGGAACCTACAGAGATCCACCTGCCTCTGCCTCCTGAGTGCAGATTAAAGGATTAAAGGCAACCATCACCATATCTGGCTATATCAAATCTTAGGGTTTCAAAAACTTCTCATAAGAGAAGCAGGGTTTTTCTGGTTCCTGAGGAACTGGACCCTGGCATTCCTTTCAAATAATAACTTTTATCAACATCCTCCTCCACACAACAAAGCTAAAAAACCAGCGTCAAAGGATAACCTCTTCTCTCTCTCTCTCTCTCTCTCTCTCTCTCTCTCTCTCTGTGTGTGTGTGTGTGTGTGTGTGTGTGTGTGTGTGTGTGTTTGAGACAGGGTTTCTCTGTTTAGCCCTGGCTGTCCTGGAACTCACTCTGTAGACCAGGTTAGCCTTGAACTCAGAAAGAGGCTTGCCTCTGCCTCCTGTGTGCTGGGATTAGCTTTTAAAAGACAGACAGGGTAGCACTGTTAGGTATGGGGCACATGCATATAAGCTCAACACTCAGGAAATTGAAGCAGAGGGTGTCCAGGTTGGAGCTAGTATAGCCCACTTAGTACACTCTTTCTCAAAAGAAGAAAAGAAGAGGAGGAAGAAGAGGAAGAGGAAGAAGGAGGAGGAGGAAGAGGAAGAAGAGGAAGAAGAGGAAGAGGAAGAGGAGGAAGAAGAAGAAGAAGAAGAAGAAGAAGAAGAAGAAGAAGAAGAAGAAGAAGAAGAAGAAGAAGAAGAAGAAGAAGTCGTCGTCAGTGGATTGGTGTTGTGATCTCTCCTATCACACTAAGTAACAGGACACGTCCATGAGCCACCTGCCTTCCTTCCTCCCCAGGAACAAATCCTTGGACTATACGCCGGGAGGGGACATGAGAAGACAGTGAGGACACTCTTTCCCACTGTAAAGGCAGCAGCCATGTCTGCAGCTTTAGGCACATTTGGGTGATGTGTGCTCATAGAGTGAACCCCAAGCTCTCTTTACTGTCGTGGGCCACAGGTTCCCTGATTTGCACTCCTGGTATCTGTCTCCCCTGAGTATTCATCCTCTTAGCTTTGACCTCAGGCTGCAAACACATTCGTTCCTCTCCTGTGCTCACGCTTTTGTGAAAGGCTGGCCTTATTGTCCATTTTACATTGTTTTAAATTTCCAGCACTGGCGATCAAAGGTTCATGCAGCCTAAGCGTGCGCTCTCTCTCTGAGCTACATTCCCGACTACAAAGGTGTTAAAAAACAAAGATTTATCCAAGTAATGGAAAGCTGTAAAGATTTCCAAAAGCATTTTATTTTTCTATTCATGTTGGGAGTGTAGCTCATAGGTAAGGTCTTTGGCTTTAATCTTAGAACTGCAAATAACAAGCAAACAAAAATAGGCCTGATGGTGGTGCATACCTTTAATCCCAACACTGGGGAGGCAGAAGCAGGCAGATCTCTGTGAGTATGAGGCCAGACTGGTCTATAGAGGGAGTTCTAGGACAGTCAGGGCTACACAGAGAAACCTTGTCTCACAAAAAGAAAGGAAGGAAGAAAGAATATTTGCTGCAATTTTGTCTTTCAGGATGTGTATACAAGCTAACTTTGTAGTGCCTGGGCTTGGCTAGACACTAGATAAAGGTCCTCGGTCTAGTCTGAGGTAGAACCACTCTTCTGGTAAAGACTCAATTTTCAAAACTCAATTCCCAGTTGGGTGTGGTGGCACCACCTGTGATCCAACACTTGGGAGACAGAAGCAAGAGAATCATCAAAAGTTCAAGGCCAGCCTCCTCTACTTGGTGAGTTCCAGGCCAGTAGGGACTTATAATGAGCACCTGGCAAGATGGCTTGCTGCCAAGCTTGAGAACCTGAATTTGAACCCTAGGAGCATGGTGGAAGAGCCGGTTCCTTTGAGTTGTCCTCTGACTTCCACCCACACCCAGGAATTAAAAAAAATTAAATTAAAAAAATTTTAAACCAGAATCAATATAATAACAACAACAACAACAGCATCAACAAAACAGTTTTTTACTTTCTCCAACCTTCTAGGCTGCCTTCTTGTTCTAGGGTGGAGATCAGTAGTCAGTCTACCCTCCTTCTCTTGTCTGGGGTCTAACCTGTTCCCTTTCCTCCTCCCTGTATCTGGGGTCTAACCTACTCCCTACCCTCATCCCCTTGTCTGGGGTCTAACCTGTTCCCTACCCTCCTCCTCTTGTCTGGGGTCTAACCTGTTCCCTACCCTCATCCCCTTTTCTGGGGTCTAACCTGTTCCCTAGCTTCTTGAGCTGAGAGTGCTTCCTTTCTTAGCCTGGGACTTAAATTGCCCCATGTTGATCTTGGCTGATAACTCTCCTTTGCCTCCTGCCTGGAGCCACACTCTCCTCGTCTCTGGACTTGACTAGCTCTTGATAACTCTGCTCAAAGCAACACCTTCACTACAGAAGTCAAGGCCAAGTTCACACACACTTCAAGTCCACCTCTTAGTTGCCGTCTGGGGTCAGTCCCTTTTGTTTAGTGGTCTAGCACCTTTGCTAGTTGCTGTCAATTAAGTTCATGGACATTGTAGCCCAGGACTCCTCATCACCATCGTTGTGTGAGGGATCAGCTCAGCAGGTCTGGGCTATCCAAACCCACTCATTCCAAAGAAACGTTTTGTCCTTGCGGTTTCTTGGAGAGAACTCTCAAGCCTTCAGCACACCCCACCCAATATTTCTGGAACAAGGTCAGCTATGAGAGTCATTGCTTGCCCGTGTCTCTGACTTCCTGAAAACTGGACTTGAACTGATGAGACGGCTGGGGGGTGAGGGGGGTAAAGGATGGCCGCCACAAGCATGCACATCCATACATAAACGTGGAAATAAATCTGCACAGGGAAGTGAGGCAAGAGAATCTGATAGACAGCGAGGTCTGAAAGGCCTGTGCAAAGGATGCAAAATCAGCATACGAGAGAAACAAAGCAGTCAAGAGGAAGGCTGGACCCACACAGACCCAGGCTGCAGTAAATCTACCCACTTGTGCAGCTACAGAGGCACTCCTGACGTCCCAAGGTGATCTACAGTGCACTATACTACTGAAACTCAGCACTCCGGGTGGAGATTTAAGATGTTGGTGAGACGTTAAATACATAGGTAAGTTGTATGTAGAATTACACATAATAGGGCAAGTGCCTATAGTATATTAGTGCACCCTTAATATATTTCTGTGGCAATGCATTATGGTAAAATATATTTCTTAAGTTCTAAGAGACTGGAATGATTACAGGAGCTCACACCCTGATTAATAATACTTCTTGAAGTCACCTGATTCAAGACTTTATTGTGAACTCAGCCCATTTGTTTCACCCACTTCTCAGAGAACAACCTAACAGTTAACCTTGCCTTGGATTTCCCATGTAGTCAACTTTTGTACTCTAAGCTAAGGCACGGCTGTAATCTTAAATCACGAACTCTTCCATGCTCCTGACTCAGAACAATGCCTGCGTGTTCTGTGCCGAAAGCAGCAGGTACAGACGTCGAAAACGATTTTCTAAAGGGCCTAGCCACCATAAACACAATGCTCATGGATATCGGTTGACAAATAACGATGTTTCTTATGTGGTCAGTTGGGGTCATCTGGGGTCAACGACTTAATGTCTTGTAAAAAACTCAGTTAGAGGTGTCTGTAAAAGATCTTCCATTCCTCCCCCCCAAATGACGCTTTCTGGGCTGTTCAATAAAAGAGAGAGCAAAGCCCCTTTGTTAGAGGTGGACTCACAAGCACACAGGACACAGAGACATACCGGCTAAGCCATCTCACCAGCCCCTCACGTGACTTTCCCCACTGAATGGCTTTATTTCACACGTGATGCTGATGCTGACGTAAGCTGTGGGGAAGACGATCAGCAGAGCACAAAGGACGAGTGAACTTTCTGAGTTAGGACAGCTGCCCCATCCAGACAACACACTTCAAGGTCATTTCAGTAAGATCAAGGCCAGCAAGAACTGACGAGGACCTCTGCACTCAGCGTGCACGTGGCCTCCGGTGAGGACCACATCAGCCGTTTTTTAGATGTATATCTCAGGGTAGGGCACTTTTTTTTTTCTCTGAGACAGGGTCATGTGTAGCCCAGGCTTGCCTCCAACTCTTATGGCTGAGGATGACCTTGACCTTCTGATTCTCCTGCCAGCAGGACAGCTTTTAGATTGGGGGAAAAAAAATCCATTCTATGACAGTATTAGAGGGTTGGATGCCAGCCAGATGGAGAAAGCACACTGAACACGCATGAAGACCTGCAGCCCATTGCTGGCACTGCAGAAACACACCACACCATCGCTGCCGTGACCACCAGAACAGTGCCGGGGAAGACGGTTCTGTAGAAGAGTTCAGAAGCAGTCTTCTGTCACCAGGCACTGCAGGGAACAAAGCCAGTCCCTGCATCCTGGATATCCGTGATTAAAGCAGAACCAGTTTTACAAGCTACATGCCCAACCTCTTCCAAGACGGCAAAAGGGGTAGGAGAAGAATGTGGTGAGGAATGAGTCTGTGCATACATGAGTCTGTGCACACATAAGCCTGTGCATACATGAGTCTGTGTGCATATATGAGTCTGTGCACACATAAGCCTGGGCATACATGAGTCTGCACATGCATGAGTCTGTGTGCATACATGAGTCTGTGTGCATACATGAGTCTGTACATACATGAGTCTGTGTGCATACATGAGTCTGTGTGCATACATGAGTCTGTGTGCATACATGAGTCTGTGCATACATGAGTCTGTGTGCATACATGAGTCTGTGCATACATGAGTCTGTGCATACATGAGTCTGTGCNGGGAAAAAAAATCCATTCTATGACAGTATTAGAGGGTTGGATGCCA